TTATAAAAAAAATTTGCGTCTAGTGATAAAAAAAAGGTTAATTAATTCGTACATATGCCTCAATTGATAATGGTTTTTAAAAACCACATTATATAATATAATTCTTAGCAACTTATATTGACAAAAGGTCCTGAAACTAATATAACTCTCCGTTACCATTTTAGACAATGTTTTATAGAATGGACTAATAAGGAAAAATATATAGGCCTAATCAAATCAACAATTCTTGAAGAAGAGATTATAAACGACCAATCCAATTTATAAACTATATGGTGGTTATTCTCTCAGATGATATGATGGAAGTTAGATAAGTAATCGAGACAATTATTGTGAGATATTAAATTTCCAAAAGATTATCTTTCATTTTTAATAATATATAAACGACTACACAGTTGACCATTATTGCTTAACTAAAATATGCAATCATATGCTCTCAGCAAGCTGTAGTAATAATCTTAACTTATATTACCACACAAATAATAGATGCTGGTTTATTTTCAGTCATAGCCATGATCACGATGTTAACTCATATCAGAATTTATTATGTTAGATAAATTGATAAAACAAACATACTAAAAATCTTTAGAAGAAATTATGTAAATATATTAAAGGTTTAAGTTATTTACCATTGTGATATGATGGAAGCAATTAAGATTATATATTATTGTCGCATCACCTCGAGTTGGTGTATTATATCTTAAAATAAAAGTAGTTAGTAATAATATCAAAAATATACTCTTATTAAAAATTTACCTCGAAACTGTTTTTCAAATAAGAAAAAATAGCTTTCCTAAAAGCACGTAAAAAAGAGAAGAAAATTTAATTTATTACATCCATTGTGGGATGAATAATGAGATGTTTAATTTTTACTAATATTTTTAAATAAATAGAAGGCGTTAAAGATATGAATGCAAATTGTTACTATAAGCATTTTTCATCAAAATTTATTAAAATATTAACTTTAATATATAATATAACTGTCAAATACGCCTGTAAAAGTGGCATTTACCTAATATTTTATTACCAATTATATATAATAGAATTATATTAAGAAATCTCATATACTTATTTGGAACTTTATAATATATTTAGGAAGAGGCAAGCTAATTAAATATAAAAATGAATAAAATAGTTGATTAGTAATTTATATACAATATTAAATTTGTTAATTTAAAATTAATAAATGATTATAGAAATTTAATTAGGGTTATATAATAATTTAAACAATAAAAGTCAATTGAGCTTAAACTGTTAATGCTAAATTAATATTTAGTGAGTGATGTTGATATTCTATTTTTAACACTGAATTTGATTGCAAGCTGACATAGTGAATATATAATTTATATGCATTAACTTATTATAATATTTTAAATAGTATTCATTTAATAAAAATTTAGATAGTCTTATTAATTTTTAAATAAAATTTTAATTTTTAAATAAAATTTTAATTTTTAAATAAAATTTTAATTTTTAAATAAAATTTAGATAGTCTTATTAATTTTTAAATAAAATTTAGATAGTCTTATTAATTTTTAAATAATATAGATTAGATAGGCTTATTAATTTTTAAATAATAAAATTAAATCTATATATTACGTAAGAGAATTATAAAAGAAATCGTTCAGGGGGCAATCAAAACAATTTATTTTTAGTTCAAGGGGATATTAAGGAGCCATTAAAAAAAAATTTTGCTTCAGGGGGCTCGAGCCCCTACGCGGACGTCACGGTCAGGGCGTGAGTGTGAATAAATTTTAAATTCCAAGGCGTGACTGGGCGTGACAGGCCTTCCCAAAATTTTCTCCGGGCGTGATCTAGCGTGAACATAAATTTCCCGTGAATTACGAAAATTTTTATTTTTAAAATTGTTTTTTTATAAATATAAATTTGCAATTTTATAATTATATTATATATTTTCTTATTTAATTTAGTTCTTTATTTATAAACTAAAACATCCGGTATCATTTCGTTAGTTCTATTTTCTTTTTATGTCTAGGCGTTGTTTATCGCGAGACTTTTTGCTAAATTTTGTTTAAACTTTTTAAAGAAATGTCACTTATATTTTATTTGTAAAGATTTTCAATCTTTAAATGCAACAGAAAGTGGAAGATTTTACAAGCTAGGCCAAGAGATAAATGTTGGTGTTACATATGGATAACAAAATATAAAAGTTGTGAACCGGAAAACTCTAATGAATACTATAGGTCTAAATATATACCATGAAATAAAATTTAAGATTAAAAGCAAATAATAATTACTTGTCCATAATCACGGATATTTGGACGGATGACTATAAAAATCTAAGTTTTTTAACCATTAAAGTACATATTATCATTAAGGATTTTAAAACATTTGTTTTGGCCACAAGGGCAATGGATGAAAAAAAACGTCAATATTAAAAGTGTTGTCAATTCAATTTTAGGAGAATATACAGAAGTAGAAAATTACTTAAATAAATGTGTAGTTGTGAGTGATAACGGAGCAAATCTTATAAGTGCATTCAAAGATGACGAAACGCTAGCATGTATATGCCATATACTAAATAATATTATGCATTATATTTTTGACAATTGTTTAACTGAAATAGCCTTAAATATAAATGGTGTAAAAAAAATAGTACAATATTTCGAACAATCTACAGCTAATAGCAAACTAAGCCACACCCTTAAACAAAATGTAATTACGAGATGGAACTCTATATATATCATGATACAGAGTTTATTAAAATTATATTCTGAAATACAGGTGCACTTGTTTAGCAAGCAAGAATTAAATAGATTAGCCACAATTGATATCAGCATCATACACGAGTTAGATAAATTTTTATTAATATTTAAAGAATGCTCGGATAATCTGAGAGCAGATTCTCGTCCCACAATAAATGAAGTTTGTCTATGTAAACAAAAATTAGTAAAATTTTGTTAACCTTCTGAACGTGATACAATAATAATCAAAACCTTAAAATACAGAACAAGATTTCTTTTAAAAGATTATTATGCAGCCACTACATAAGGTAGGCTCAATTCTAAATCCGAATTTCAAAAGACTTAAGTTTTTAATAAAAGAAGAAAAGGATGATATATATATATATAACAATCTTAAAAATGCAAAATGATATAAAATTAGATGATATGCATAAGTCGATGCCAACTATCATTTATAACTTTCCTACTTATCCTAAACTCATAAAAAACTGTATATTCTAAATGGTCAATATCAACTATCATTTATATCTTTCGTAATTCATCCTACACTCATAAAAGAACGTATATTCTAAATGTTAAAGAATTTCTAGATGATTTTGATGAAGCAAGGTGGAAGCAGGAATATTAGTTTCCCTTTTTGAGAAAATTATAGAGTAAAATTTTGTCAGCTGCAAGTTCGGCTTCTAGTGAAAGGTTATTTTCTGTAGTCAATCCGGAAAAAAAAGATGAACATTCTTCTTTTTCTAAATAAATTTCGATTTAAAGATTGTATTTATTTTTGTTATAAATATGGATTATAAAATTAGAGAAATAAATAGAATGAATTCAAAAAAGTGTAAAATTATAGAAATAGTTTTAAAAAATTTAAAACACCGTGAATTTTCGGGCGTGATATTACTTTTCGTGAGCGGGCGGGTCGGGTCAAACATTTTTTATTTGCCACCGCCGCGCCCACCTTTAATTTAGACAATTGGCTTTATCTTTTTTTTATTATCCTATCATTATTTACCCTTACCTGACAAAATCATAACAGTTAAACTTTATTAAAGAAACCATTAATTCATTTGATCTTTCAAATATTTAATTCCAAATCTTCAATAATTAATAAAACTCCTTGAAGTTTAAAATTAACCTAATTACAAAAAAAATGATTTTTGATATTATTGGTAGCTCTTTGTCTTATGAACTCTAATGAAACCTTTGCCCAATTGATGACAACACTTATCAGGCACTTTTATCCTAATCTGAATGTACTTTTTAAACTTCATCAATATATGATCTACTCCTATTAATTTTACTGAGGAAGAGGTAGAAGTAGCTATAAAATATTTAAAAAGATTATACTAGAGGAATTAATGCAATTAGCCCAATTTATCTATTATTAAACCTGCCATTAGGAAGTAATAGTATATTGGCCAATATTACGATCTTATGCAACAAAATCATTTAAGGATAAACTTCATCACAAATTATCCCGATTTTTATTTGGGTCTATCTAGTAACCTGCAAAAATGAAGCTATTTATCACACCTATGTGTTAAAGGTGAACCTAACTCTATACTTTAAAGTAAGTAGAAACGGTGGTGGCTTATAAAAATTTACTAAAAAATAAAGATAACAAAAATATTAAAAAATAAAACTTTTTGCTCCTCTATTTTCTTTGTGAGTATAAAATAAATTAAAAAACAAAATTTTTATAACAATAAATAAAGGGATTCAAATTTAACACTTTTGAAAAATATTACAATTTTTAGAGGAGGGGGGGGGGGCACTTAGCCTCTCTTTAAAATTTGAAAAAGAGGCTAAAAATAAAAAAATTAGCGAGGGGCTTATGCATTACAATACACCCCTAAAGATTAATATATATATATATATATATATAATATTGCAAAGAATGTGACTTATCCTTTTCCAAAATTTGAGAAGTTTTGTACAAAACAAAAAAATTAAAACATATAAATTATATATATTTATACAATTTTATAAAATACTGAATAGATATATTGAAAAATTATAAAATCTGATTCCCAGGTAAAAAAGATAGGCTTCAATAATACAGGTGATTCCATGAATGCTTTCTTTGAATAATAATATGAATATAAAGAAAATCAACAATTTACATTTTTATACCAAAAAATAATAAATTTATATTTAGTGGTAGCCGATAAAAACTTGAAACAGAAATTATATTGTTATTAAAACGTAATAATAATAAATAAAATATATTAATTAGATAATTTTCAAATAACTATTAGAATGCCACTTTTTTGAAACTGATGACAGCGCGCCATTTTTTTGGGGAAATTAGCGAGTGTATTTTTTTGTTATTGAAAATTAGCGGTAGAGGAAAGAAAGGCCCTGCTTTTAAAAGTAGCGTTATAACCTATAGAAGAAAGTATATAAATTAGGTAATAAATAAAAACATGATTGGTATTATAGCAAAATATAAATAATTGGCAAATGACTAAATTAGGATTAATCATAATTTATGTTGTTGAATATGTTGATCGATGTTATTTTATTATTTATTTTGGCAATATTTTTTTTATATATCAATTTGTATTTAAATTTAATCGGTGAAAATTTTATATTAACATTTTTTTTATTACATCAATTTGTATTAGTTATTTTTTTTTATTATTGTTTAAAAAAAAGAAGATATATAAAGAGAAATTGTTTTTGTTGAGAGATAGAAAAAATGTAATTTATCTTTGAAAATAAAAATGTAATTTAAGTAATATAAAGATTAATCTATATATATAATTATAAATAAATATTTGATTTTATAGTAACCATTTCTAGATATTTTTGAATTAGTTACATGAGTGTAAATAATATTTAAATGTTTATATTTTACTGTCTGAGGCGTTAATTTCATATCATATTATATTATGTTCAATTGATTTAAAAAGTATATATTTTACTGTCTGATGATATATTAGATATATAAAAATCGACATCTTTTAAGTTAAAAACAAAGAATAAAATATATTTAATTTTATTATACCAGATTCCATATAAAAAATAAAATTATGTTTATTATGATATTCTCATATATATATTCTAAAATTTCCCAATCAATACGAGCACATCCCAACCGAATCCCTACATTGACCATTGTTATTTTTGGCAGTGCTTGGTACAATTTCTTACCTCCAACTAGATATAATTTGACAGAGAGAATATTTAAAATTTTAATTTTATAGGGCTGAATAGTATTTATGGAATAATCAATTATCCTTATTAAATTCTGTTCATTTGTTTTAATTTAGGAATATTTTATGCAATAATAAATGTGTTCTCTATCTAACAAGTTTAAAGAGTTGGAATAGGATTTTAAAGATTCAAATAAAACCGAGATTATTATTTACGCGAACGGACCCTTATTTTTACCTGAACAAAAATTTGCTAAGTTAAGATATCTGTGAAAATATTCATTAAATTTCTTTTTTTAAAAAAAATTTCAATTTAATAGGGATCTTGGAGAGTGGTGGAAAAGTGATAACTAATAATGATATGTTTGTGTGTTCTACTTGATCTGCAAATGTACAATCACTACTAGTTAGGCATAATTAATGGTGATTTTTTAGTAATATTTTAACATTATAAACAGAAATGGGTTAGTTTTATATTAAAATATAATGTAAAGGTTTATATATTATTTTAGATAAATATTTTTATAAACCTGTAAGCTGTACATATATTCTTATCCATTGAATTCAACTTTTGTCAATTTGTAATTAGAGCTACCGCGATCAACGAGGAAGCCTTGAAAATTGAGTGATTGAATGAAATCTAGAGGATTCTTCGATCTGATGTGATAATCCTGTAAATGATAATGAATTATTTGGGGGAAATGTTTAATATTTTTGAAATTATTTTTAAACATTATTATTAATAATTTAAAATTTTGGTTGAACTTTAATTATCTGCAATAATTCTCGAGTTGAATATATATCACCATCTTGTCGTTGTTTTGACAATTCCCGTAAAATTTCGATAAATTTTTTTGGCTTAAAAAAGATAATTTAATTTTGTTTTAAAATTAGTAAATAAATTGCTAGAAATCAAGTCTCTTTACTTTCTTTTTCACCCTAATATTTTTATCACAATAAATTTTTACACAAGAATTTTAGATTAGATGATAAGATTTCATGAATACCGTTCAACTTGATTGTGATACTTGACAGTTATTTGTAATTTTTAAATGTATAAAAAACGTATACATAAGAGGAACCAACCAAGGACGCACACAGAACCGTTTAACCATTATGATGCAGTCAGATGTTTTCCTTAAATATAAAGGGACCCACAAAAATAGAATTTTTTTTAAATAATACGGTATAAACTATATTTACACAATCCTTATTCATATTTATATATTTTATTCATATATACTTCAAAACTTGAATACTTTATTCCTTAAAAATATCATATTGAAATATTTCCAACAAGATTTTTCGAAATTAGAAATGAAACGACATTTAAACAACGCAAGATGAGGTAAGTGTATGCAAAATTTGTAAATTGGACAAAAAGTAATTACTAACTATGAAAAATCTCCTAAATCTGAGCAAAATCATTTTAAAAAAAGTATATAAAATGATGGAAAATATAAGAAAAATGCAAATAAGGAAATATTTTATAGAAGTGATTGGAGTGGTGATGAGAAGAAATAGACTGGGGTGGTTAGGGTATTCATGGTAGAGATGCACGTTGATGGAGGAAGGAAATTAAGGCTTCGAGGAAAAACCAAGACGACCTGGATAAAAATAAAACGGACGATATGAGGAGAATAGATAGCACAAAGAGCGATGGTCAGGATCGTAAAAAAAGAGAATGGGAATAAGAAGGGAAACGGGGTTAAGAATATCGTTTTAATTTTTTTTAATGTTAAAAGATTGAAACTTTATCGATATAAACATTCAATTAAAATATTGAAAGGAAGAAAATATAGAGGAAGTTAAAAATTAAATAACTTCCAAAATTAGAACGGTTTTCTATAGGCAGCAAATTTCTTGTTATATAAATTCTAAGTATATATGCTTGGAGAATATCATAATAAGTTATAGAAATATTATGAAAACTTCTAAATACATTTCTTTAGAAAATAATTCACTATTTTCTACTAATGAGTTCTTTTTGAAAAAATATTATTTTTAAAAAAAATGTACCATATGTTAGCAAATAATGGAATAAAAAAAGAACGATATCTAAAATCCTAAGTATATGTGAAAATATTTAGATTAATATTCAATCAAGCGATAGAGAGAGAAAATAAACGAAGCTAGTGACAAGGTAAATTCCTAATAATGTAATTGGAGATAAAAATACACTAACAAAATTGTTTTCATTAAGCTATGCGAGTCAACTAGACCATTTTCCATAGATCCAAAATAAAATTCCGTATAGTAAATATGAAATATTAATATTTTGGTTTTAGATATTAGCAACTATATCATTTTAGTTATTAAGAGGAATGAGACAAGGTAACCTTGATAAAGTTTAATTTAAATTTTATGTTAATCTTTTATATTTAGGTTCAGTTTTTATAGATTAGCAATATCGTTTCAAAATATCCGCAATTTATCACCCTTAGATAGCAAGAAACCATCAATAAAAGGTTTTAAATTATATTTAAAAATCACAATGATTTGGGAAATTTAATATAATTAACCACTGCTACATAATATTAGCCATATTTTTAACCTTTCCAGGTTACAATGACAGAATAGTAAAATAAGTTATATAAAAATTATCTATTCAATTAAATCTATTAAACAAAATTAACTAATTTATGCATGGTTGGTGTAATATATTAACTTTAAATAAATTGTATTTTGTTATTTTGGTTTAAGGATACATTTTATGGTAATAGATTAAATACATAAATTATTTTGTAAAAATTTTATTTCATATAAACACCACATTGACGAAGATTACTTTATAAGAGACGTATTAAATTAAAAAGGTTAAAATTATACCTAACGAAAACTTGATATGAAGATATTTCTGAAGAAAAACGAAGAAGCATCAACATCTAGTCAATTCCATATTCCAGAATTCGTCAAAGAAAAAGTGAATATTGAATATTATGTATATAATTTAGAACTCATATTCAAAGTAAAAAATATTGTCGATCAAAATAAAAAAAAGATTTGTTACTAATTTCCAATACCAAATTAATTTAGAGAGCATTAATTTAATAACTTTATTTGATCGTTTGGAGAAAATATTTAAGGATATCTTTAGTATTTCCTACATAGAAATAATTTTTATAATTTAAAAAGAGGCGGAGAAACTATTATAGATTTTTCGATCAAATTAAAAAATATTTGCTCATTATGGAATTTTAAATAGCCTGTTGATTTTTTAAGAGATATTTATATATTAGGAGTAGGGCTACCTGAGTTGGATAAAGAACTTCGGTCAATACAACATGTATTTTAGGAATAATAACTATATTAACGATAATAAATTCAATAATAATAATAGTAATAATGCCAACAAATTCAATCATAATAAATATTATATTCCTAATAATTATAAATCTAGTTATAAACCTAACTTCATACAAAAGAAAGTCATATGCTTTCGATCAGGGTTGGCATGTAGGTTAATTGAGCGGAGGAGTATTTGACTGGTCAAATACTCTAAAATATTATTGGCGAATAAATATTTTATAAATTAATTAGTATGCATTAAAAGCATGTTTATCAATCTTATTAAGTTATAATTTATTAAAAATATATTCGTATCATAAAGGAATCGATAACAAAATAATTTTTTTTAATACTAAAATAAATAAATATAATAATTTAGCTAAGTCATGGTTTATTTTTTAATGAATTTAAATTTTATTTAATATTTCACCCAGTATAAATTATATTGATTCTCATTTATTTTACTTCCATTTGCTACATTTGAATATAAAAATTAATTATATTTTTTACAAAATAATTTATTCAATTCTGGTAAAAAGTTACATATTATATTATATAAAATATTAAGCCAAATTATTGAAATAATTGGCGATAATTATAAAATTGATTAACTTTACAATAATCAAAATCTTTTTTAGTTAAATTTTAATATATTAGGGATTATGGTCAAACCAAAGCATCAAGTTTGAAGACATTTTCAAGAAGTATGCGATGGTAAATCAGTTAAAGCGGTATGCAGGTTTTGCAAGATGTCCTATATTACCCACGTTGATAGAATGGTCAAGCATTTATTGAGCAGCTGTACTATGTGCCCTGCCATAATTAAGGTAAAATTTTATTCAAATTCCAAAATATCAACCTCTATAAAAAATCATATAAATGTAATTTGTAATACTTCTAGCAGCTCTAACGTAGAATTGGGCGAAATTAAGTGAGAATGATTATCAAATCGAAATATTTTGTCTTGTGACTCAAAAAAATTTGATTCCATTATCTCTGACCAATTGATCAATTGTTTGCAAAGGCTGTATATGTGATCAATTTACTTTTCCACATCACTGAAAATCCTTACATCTAAGAATTCTTTAAAAAATTACGTCCTATTTGCTGCTTATCTTTTAGACAAAGCGTCAGGAGATATGGAGGCGAGAGTTGAAGATATAATAGATAAATCTCCTCACTTATCAATTGTATCAGATGGCTGGAGCAACATAAAAAACGTGAGTATTATAAATTATATGGTGATGACGCCTGTTCCAGTATTCTACAAATTTTTAAATAGTGAGGAAAATCGTCATACGGCATATTATATTACCCAAGAATTTAAAAATGTAATTAATGAATTGAATCCGGTAAAATAATATTCTTTAGTTACTGATAATGCCGCTAACATGAAAGCAGCCTAGAATTCTAAAATCTGAATCTATTTAGAATCATATACAATGTTATGGTTGTGCAGCGCATACATTGCAGTTATCCTTTCACGATTGAACGACTTCAGTTACCATATTTCAATAATTAAAAAAATTATTAAATTTTTCAAGAATAAACACATATTAGCTGCAGTATTTTCCCATAATATGAATCAACATGGTTAACCATCTACATTAAGTATAATTAGCCAAACAAGATGGGCATCATCAATAATTGCATGAAGCGAATATAAATATGTAACAAAAGCATCAGTTGTTGTAGAAGCTGTATGTGATATTTGTCCTATAGAAATTACAAAAATATATTAAATGAAGAAATATTTTGAACGAAAAATTTAAAATTTTTAGATATACTTCAAATTTTAGCTACCTCATTAATGAAAGTGCAAGGGGACAAATGTACTTTAGCTCACGTAAAAAACGAGATGCTTGGAAAAACACATAATACAATCCATGATTCTATATTTTCTCCATCTGAAGAAAAAAATTAAAATTATGTTTGAAAAAAGAAAAAATGATCTAAATACATGTGCTAACAATAATGCTTATTTATTGGACCCCCAATATCAAGGGGAGCATCTTACTAGTACTGAACTTGATGAATCATATAATATAATACAAGAATTAGATATTTTACAAGGTGGTGATAATCAAAATATTTTAAGTGATATAATAAATTTCTAAAGTAAAAGCGACATATTTAATAGCCAAAATATGTGGTAAGTGGTAACTTCCATAAGAAACAATCAGATTTCGGCCTCAAGTTGGTGGAACGCATTTTGCCCACCTTGCCCTTTAAGAGAAGTAGCTAATATTTTACTAACATTTCCTAGTTCAACTTCTTCTTCAGAAAGAAATTGGTCAGTTTGGGGAAATATTCATATGAAAAACAGAAATCGATTGAAGACTTCTACAACAGGAAAATGGTAAGAGTATATCATAACTTAAGATTGATTAAAAATATTAAAGAAAATAATGTATTGAATATGAATCGAAACAAGACTCTGCTACGGTGGGCGAAACAACTATGGAATGAATTAAAAAAATATTATGAAATTTAATATTACATAGATTCATTATAATATTATATATATATATATACAAAAGAAACTTAATAATGGCGTAAAAACATTTATT